AGAGAGAGAGAGAGAGAGAGAGACAGAGAGAGAGAGAGAGAGAGTCAAGACAGTCAACCTAAGACATATAGGGAGAGACTAGTTCTACCAGTGTAGCCCCTCCGCTCTCGCTCATGTAGTTTATGTGTAGGCCCTGTAGAGGGAGCGAAGGGGGCTATACCGGGAGTGATAGGGAGAGACAACGAGAACGCGAGCGAGCGATCTTGGCCACAGGCACTTGGGACAGAGTCAGTAAAAACTGAAAATAATATGAACGCTCATTCACAAATAGGCCCTACTACCGTACCTCTCCGTTACAGTTCCACTGTTGCGTCACTGTATATCAACTTTCCTTCATAAAAACCTATGTAAAAACTAACGCCGAACGCTCCCGCACTCGCCGCTGCGAGTGTGCTGTGTCGCCATGAGAATATTTGTGAATGTGCGTTCATATTTTTTTCAGTTTTTACTGACTCTGTCCCAAGTGCCTGTGATCTTGGCAGGCAGACAAAGAGACATTACGTCGTGGTACGAACTGGCGGCACACGTAGGTACACGCACGCATTATGAACCCGTTCTTTGTCCGGGGATGATGGCAGCAACCAACGCTCGATGTGATTTCCCTCCATTGGGGTTTTTTTCCCGCCAAACCCAAGCGCCGTGGAAACAAAGGATGCGCGTGCCATGTGCGACGCAGACGCCTCTCCCACGCGCGCGCGGCACGGGCGGGAGCGCGTGAGTCACAAGTGTTACTCATTAACGGACGGCCTGCGTGCGTGCGCGAGCGTGCGTGCGCGGGCGTCCGCTGCCACGCAAAACCGACGTACGCATCCCTGATGCAGACGTCCTCTGCATCGTCATCATCCTCCTCCTCCTACCCTGATCGCCTCCTCTTCCGCAGCTTCCTCCTCCTCTTCTTCCTCCTGTATGGTACTACATGACGTCTGACGGCGCTGCGTAGCTGTGAGAAGCACGCGTGGACGGTTCTTTGTTCGCCATGCACGCCAACTGTCGCCGCGGCGCTGCCAGCGGGCGGGGGGCTGCCTCCGCCAGACTCACATCTGTTCGCCTTTACAGGCGGGAGTGCACAATGGCACAGCGCGCTGGGTTACTGTGTGTCACCATACGTGCGCGCACGTGTGTCTGTGCGTGCGTGCGTGCGTGCGTGCGTGTGTGTGTGTGTGTGTGTGTGTGTGTGTGTGTGTGTGTGCAGACGTGAGCATGTGCGCGCGCGTGTGTGTGTGCATCCATCCGTCCGTCCGTGTGCGTGTACATGTGTGTGTATACATGTATGAGCGTGTGCCGTGTGTCTGTGCGTGCGTGCGCGCGTGCGTGCATGAGTGTTTATCTCAGCAGGTGCGCGTGTGCGTGCGTGTGTGTGTGTGCGCGCGTCCACGTTTTACGCTCCCGCTCTCAACACGCGAGCGCGCGGGGCTGCAGGTGTGCAAACACGTGGGTCACCGGCGAGATAAGCGGCGACCGTAAACATCTGCAGCGTATTCACCATACACGCCCGTGGCGGACCGCGCCGAACTGGCGAAAAAAAATCTCACGCGTGCTGCCCCCCAGTCTATACCAGTCTGTACCAAACCCCTGCGCACACGTGTATGTGAGCGTGCGTGTGAGCGAGCGTGCGTGCGTGCATGCGTGCGAGCGAACGTGCGTGTAAGTGTGTGCGTGTAAGTGTGTGCGTGAGTGCGTGCATCGATGCTGTATCGTCGGCTCGCACGCTGTTATATCACATTCGCGCGTCTAGTTGCGTGCACGATTATCGCGAAAACAGAAATTTCGCGGGTGGTGCGCGTGCTGCGCATGCGTGTCGGCAGGCGCCTGTCGGCGCTAGACTTCGGCAGACGCGGCTACGCTCTCGCCTCGCGCCGACATCATCGCATAACAACCGCTGCTGGCGTCGCCGACTCGTCTGCGCGAATCTCATCGTAAAATCTTGGATTGCGTCGCGCATCTGTTCCGTTCGTCTGCGTGCGTGCGTGCGTGCGTGTGCGTGCGCGTTCGTGTGTGTGCGTGTGTGCGTGCGTGCGTGCGTGTGTGCGCGCGCGCGTGTCTGTACATGTGTGCGTGCGTGCGTGCGCATGTGCGTGTGTGAGCCTCAGCTGCCGATTATACATACGACTAACATTCATCTCAGACTCGTTCAGCGACGCTTGCTCGCTCCATAACCAAGTTAATTATTCATCGTTAGGCCAAGCCACTGTACTGTACACACTTCTATGTATACGCGCGAGGGTGCCACGCAAGCATCTCTGCCAACTGTCACGTATAAGCCAGGCGTGTCAGGGCACGCCGGTGTAGCTGCAGCCTTAGAGGAGGATCGTCTCTGATGTCTGTTTTTCTTTTAAACAATGTCGGCGCTAATGTAATAATTACTAGTCGAGTCATCGACGACGGTCCGCGTTCCCTGCTCTCGCGCGCGCGGCCGGGAGACACGACGCAGATGCAGACATGCGCAGACATACTGTGCGGGAAATTGTAATGGAGAGAGAGGGGATGGAGAATAAGGGCGCGAGCGAGTGTAATGGAAAGCGAGTGAGATGGGAGGTGGGGGTGCTGCGAGACAGTCATACAGAAAACGAGAAAGAGAGCTATATGAGTGAAAGAGATACGGGACGAAAGATAGAGAGAGCGAGAGATATGTATAGGGAGAAGAAGAAGCGAGAGAGGGAGAGAGAGAGAGAGAGAGAGAGAGGGAGAGAGAGCGCGCAAAAGAAAGGGAATGTGAGAAAGGAAAGAGTGACAGGATGCTCGCTCGATGCGGAGGCAGAGGAAAACGGCAATCTTGCTTTAACTCTCATGGATGAGTCATTCACTGGGAACAGTAATGCCATTATACCGCGACACTCGGTCTATCGACTTACAAGAGCGCCAGGCTAGCGAGTGTTTGCGCGCCTGCTTGCTGTACAGCCAGCCAACCGTCGTCTCTCTCTCGCCCTCTCCCTCTATCGTTTTCTCTCTCTCTATATATATCCCTCTCTCGTTTTCGCACTCTCCCTCTCGTTTCCTGCTGTCTCCCCTCTTACTCTCCGTCTTCTTCCCTCTCTAGCTGCGTCACTGTGTTTCTCTCTCGCGCGCGTTGAGTCTCTTTCCGTCTGTTTTTTTCAATCTCCCATTCACTCTCTCTCTCTCTCTCTCTCTGTCCCTTTATTCCCCCTTCTCCCTGTCCCTTTATTCCTCCCTCTCTCTGTCCCGTTATTCCCCCCTCTCTCTGTCCCTTTATCCCCCCTCTCTCTGTCCCTTTATCCCCCCTCTCTCTGTCCCTTTATTCCCCCCTCTCTCTGTCCCTTTATCCATCTCTCTCTCTCTCTGTCCTTTTATCCATCTCTGTCTCTCTCTGTGCCTTTATCCATCTCTCTCGCTCTCGCTCTCTCTGCCCCTTTATCCCTCTCTCTCTCTCTCTCGGTGACGCGTGATGGAGCCGTTCACATCTGCATGACAGAGTTGTTTACCGTTGGAGGCCTCGCGTCGTAGTAAACGTGACCCCCATTCAACCGCTCGCTGTCTTTCTCGCGCTCTCCCTCTATGTGTGTGTGTGTGTGTGTGTGTGTGTGTGTGTGTGTGTGTGTGTGTGTGTGTGTGTGCGTGTGTGTGTGTTGTATGTATGCGTTCACACGCGCGGTGCC